TATTCACATTTTGTAATTTAGTTTTGAATAAAACTAAGTTAGTAATCGAAACTTCCTCAAACTGAATTTTATTCAAAACAAAGAAATTTTCTTCTTTAATTTTTTACTAATTAAAAGTTGTGAATGTATTGATTAACTTTCACTCTCTCTCTCTCTCTCTCTCTCTCTATATATATATATATATAGAGAGAGAGAGAGAGAGAGAGAGTTTCCTGGAGTTCTAGTGAGAAGTCGTGACCAGTGAGGTCCAATTAGATGTCACGTGTGTGGATGGATGTCCCTCCAACGACAATGGTTGGGGTCGCGCTAAATCACGAATTGGTAGAAGTTGGATTTCATGAGCCATTGAATCGGATCCCAGTGGCTGAATGGTATACGAGCTTGCCTTGTAACCGGAAGGTCCTGGGTTCGAATCCCAGTGGGTGCGTACTGCCGATGATTCCCAAACTAGGATGAAACAGCAGCTGTCCAGTACTCCGTGGTTTTCAATGGCTCTCTAACTGATATCAATCCGTGATCAACTCGTAAAAAAGCATAACTAACCCTTACAAACCAAACTATAGGAAATGATTTATTTTATTTCACTTTGTATACCATCGTTATTATTATTATTCAACAAATTGAAGAGTTGCAGCGTGAAGTAGCTGCGCTGAGAACAGTAATCCATTGGAACACATTGTCTGTATCACACCATTACAAAATTGCATTTTTATTCTGGGGTTATTTTGTTGACCTGATATTCAACCTTTTGTTCATAAATGACTTCTTTTTCATTGCTTGATAAGTCTGCTCTATATCATTATATATCTATATAGAAAAAATCCCCATTTAGACATTTAGAAAAACCGAAAGATTGAGAGAAGAAATATTTACTTTTCAATTAGATCCTTATCTCTGGCTCTACTGTAATATACACGTATAGCATTATAATTACAATACACAACAGTTTACCAATCAAGTGGCCCTCTTATGTAAGTTAACAATAATTAACCAGTGTCAAAATGTCAATGGGTTGATAATTAACGAAGAAAATCAATACAAATTTAAAAGGTAGAAATGGATAGAATAAATTAATTTTACAAGGATAACACGTAATTAAAGATGAAGTGGTCAGAAAAAATAAAATAATTTGGACAATTATGACTTTTATAATTTTTAAAGGTTTAGGGGAAGGGGGGCGAAGTAGTCCTGTTTATGCATTCTTGTAACGATAGCCACGGTAAGGAAAGTGGCTGTACAAATTTCTTCTGAACACACAGGTTTGGCTTCTTCAGGTGGATTCCGATTGCTTCAGCTGTATGTTGAAAACGAACTCGTAGAGCAAAATTAAGATTAGTAGGAATGCGATAAATAATTTGAAATGCAGTATTCACATCAACCTTATGCTCAGTATCAACAAGGTGTGGTAAAATAGAACTACAAATAGATCTTGTTTGTCCCTTGCTTAACCATGTTGGATGATGTTCGGAAATACGACGATGAACCTGCCTAATTGTACGCCCAATGTAGCTGGCTCTGCAGCTGCAGTCGAACTGGTAGATACACATAGAGGAGGCAAATTTAGGTAGTTTATCCTTATTTCTCGAACGTAGAATAGGGGTGGTTGTAGAGAGACAACGTACGTCTGCTGCATAGTAAGCTCTTTTAACTGCATTCTTCAGGGGCTGTGTTGTTATTTCGCTGATGTTGTCACCGAGGAACTGCAATTTTAGGAACATTGGTTTTTTCGGAACTGTAGCCATACTGACTCTCCTTGGTGCTGAATTCATATTTTTCTCAATAAATTTATCTGGATAACCATTTAATCTAAGTAATTCTCTAATAATATTAAGCTCCTCATTGAGGCAGTCGTCTGAACAGATTAACGTGGCTCTATGAACCAGACACTACCAAAGCCTCCAAAGCCTCAGGATGGTCGGGGGTGGGTGCCTTGCGCTGCGGGTTGGCCACCCCTCCGCACACCTCTTGAAATGCTCCCATATGACCGGGTGTCTTACATAACCTCTCCTGAGGAAGTCCTACTCACTGCCTTCACGTGGCGGAGGTGTTTTTCACCAAAGTGAGAGGGCGAAAGCGGATGCCCGGCGCTCTTCACCGGGTTGACTGTCCATTGGATGACAGTCTAGGGGAGATGGCTAAACCCTGATTCCAAACCTCCAACGACTGGCGTATGAAGCTCACTGGAGCTCACCGGCAGACGTATGGACAAAGGGCTTGTTGGATGTCCTGGATGTCTGGCCCCATTCAAAAAGGCGTATGAATCGAACTCCGGTCACCGGCTGCCAATGGATAGTGGACTCCTTACTCCACTCCTACTGCCTTGTAGGTCACACTTGGTTGTGTAAAGTCTAGAGCTGCACTCTCGAACAAAAGGCCGAGCGATTCTGGGGACATGACTCGTACCAAATTCCCATGAAACTTCATGAACTCTCTTACAAACGAGGTACAGTCAAGGCTGATATGGAGTGCCTGGGGCTACAAACCGTCTACGGACTCCGTCTGTGGAACAAGAATTGGATAACCCTGTCGCAAAACCTTGCATCAGATCGCCGCGCCTGGGCAGCGATGATTCGAGATGTTCATGAAGCCGGCTCATCCTCCCGTAGGAGATAGCCGAAGTAAAGTAAAAGTAAAGTAAAACACTACCAGGTTACGTTTATATTTCAAAGGAACAAAACTCAAAAAATGAGTGTACTGACCTGTTGCTGTAGGTTTCCTATACACACTCCCTCTTCGTTAATTATCAACCCATTGACATTGACTTATTATTGTTAACAAACATATCAGTGCCACTTGATTGGTAAACTGTTGTGTATTGTAGTAATAATGCTATATGGATATGTATTAGAGTAGAGCCAGAGATGAGGATCTAATTGAAAAGTAAATATTTCTTCGCTCAATATATATCTGTTGATTAAACAATCATAAAAGTACCAGGCTTCAAGAAATTCCCTCTGATATTTTCAAAATTTCCTGTACCTAAGATTTGTACATTTTCTTAGCGAATTTGGTGTTCCTTAGTTGTTAGCATGCATTAGTTATGAAGGGATATCATGTCTGTTGACAGTCAATTTATCTTCATGTTCGTGTGTGTGTGTGTGAAGACGAAGAAGACGTCCACATTGGGCGAATATAAGGTTTTTCTGGATTGTTGCAGTTTATCTTGTAGGGTGATGTTGGTTTTGTCTTCTTTTGGTTGACTTAATATGTTGCGGCATAGAATGAAGAGATTTTTTCGTTTATATGGATGACATCTATTCCGAAAGCTGTGTTTTTCTCCTGTTGTTTGAATAGTCATCGGTTAATATTTTGCTTGTTGTGTAATCGTTATTATTATTATTGTTCCCTTTAATTCCTAGAGGAAAATAGAGCTTCAGCCGTCCGTCTCCATTGCGTTCGGTTCTCTGCTAGAGTTTCCACCTGGTTCCAGGTCTGCCCACACGCTTTCATCTCCTCTTCACATGACCTCTTCCAAGTCACCCTTGGACGACCAACTCGTCGCTTCCCTTTCGGGTTCCACTCAAGGGCTTGTCTAGTGATGTTACTTGATGGTTTCCCCAGAGTATGGCCAATCCATCTCCATTTCTTCCTGCCTATTTGTTTCACAATCGCTTCCTTCTGGCTTGGTTCGCTCCCACAGGTCCCTGTTGCTGATCTTTTCTGGCCGGCCATCTGATGTTTAGTATTGAGAGAAGATAACTGTTAATGAAGGTCTGTAGTTTGTTTGAGATGCTCTTCATGACGCGCTGGCCAAGTCTCTGATCCGCATAGTGACTAGCACTGACTTCACATTGGAGTTGAAAATCCGGATCTTATTTTTGATGCTGAGTGCTTTGCGTTGATCTCCACACATACTTGAGAGTAGTGAAAGCTTGTCTTGCTTTCCCAATCCTCGCCTTGATATTCTCGTCAGTTCCGCTTGTGGTTGAAACGATGCTTACCAAGTAGGTAGGTAAAGGAGGTTCTTTCTTTCAGATTTCCACCATTTATGCTGATTGTTGTCTGTTGTTGTTGCTGTTACTGTTGGCCAGGAACCTTCATCACCTCTGTTTTCTCTATGTTCACCTGAAGGAAATCATATCTTTGATACTTCTCCTGCCAACTTGTTGCTTTTCACTTGCATATCTTTCAGTGTTTGTGGGAAATCAGACATATTTCACATCGGCGAGATCCAGATCCTCCAAGTTTTTTGTGTGGAGATCTAGATCAAATTTTTCAATGACTGACATTTCCCAACCTCTAACAATTCATATTTTTAGCATATAGAATTTCAACACTGTTTGGTGTTATAAAACCACATGTAATAGTTAAAATCGTGGAAATAGTTTTGATAAACTTAACCTCAAGTAGACAAGGTCTGTATATGCATACAAAAAAATAAGTTGACTGACTGGTTGAACTGGCCAGATATACAACTTAGTACAAATCTGCACTAGTTGAAGTTACCACCTTGTATAAAAGCACATGAAAAAGATGAAACGCAAAGAAGATAGAACAAAACAGAAATTTCTCGGGAGGAAGAAAAGAAAATTATACAGAGAATAATAAAAATTCAATGGATCTAGGAGTGAACCCATCTCCCTATGCCATTGAGAACGATTTTAAGCCATCTATTGGTTCTTAGCGTTTCGAGGATCCCAAGAATGCCAGTCTACTACACCTCCATAACCATCTAAAAATGAAAGATTAAGGACTTTATGGATTGATGGTTTGTTTTGATTTGGCTATCCCAACTTTATCGTATATCAGTTTATGAGACCTCTGGTTCAATTCCTGCCGCGATACAGATGTTTGTCTCACCTCACAAACCAACCGAAGAGTATCGAGGATAGTCTTAAAAATAATTCATGCTTAATAATTACACGGTTGATTTCCTTCAAGGATATAATGTGCATTTTTCTGCTTTCTTTTTCTTTGCCTTCCCCCACCAACTCCACTCCATATCATATGTTCACTCGTCACTCCATTATCAATGCCTTCGTCATCATTTGTGTACACAGTATGTTTGTGCTTTTGCTGTCTCCAGTATGTCATCAAATGCAAATCGTATTGGCAAACCGTTCAATCCATTATTAGGCGAAACATATGAACTGCATTATAATAATTTTGTTTTCGTTGCAGAACAAGTAAGTACAGAAATTTGCTATATCTTTCTTTGCTATTTCACTTATATTATCTTGTTGATTGTGTAAAGTTGTAGGCTCACTCATCCAAGCTCCTATATCTCTGATCGAACTAAGTTATTTGTGAGTTCGAACCCTCTGGCTGTGCATACCAAGGTTTCAGCAGCCAGGTGGTATCATTCACCTCACATCTCATGTGTCGGCCACTGCATAGGAATGCAGTTAAGTAATGTAATTCGTCTGTAATCATGTCTCGTCAACTGGTCGTTAAATATATTCTTTGAAATGACCATTGTTATTACGAATTTCCCGTTAATTGATTGATTGATATAGTGGATTGCATTGAAGTACTCGGTTCAGCTTATAAGCCGCAAATGAAATGCAACAGGGATCCTGCTTTCCGTTACTAACCACCATCAATCAACTCAACATCTTAATTCTTTAAAATACTTAACAAGGTATCGTATATTTTATCTCTAATAACTGTGTGATAACTATCTTCAATGAAAAATTCATGAAGAACATTAACCGAACCATCTTACCTTTTTGGATAGAATTTGCAAATTAATTCACGACTTGCAATTTAAACTGTTCGAGATGAAATTTCGCCTTAGTTTCCTTTTGCAAATTATTCATATCAGAATATCTTACCTGCTTGGTACTATAAATAGCAATCAAGAAGGCCATATACTACTGATTGGTTAACATGAGTAGTTGTATAACAGTTCTTGCTAACCATAACTCAGTGGTTTGAACTGATTCGGCTCTCTGAACTATTTCACACTGGGTGCATTACTGATGAACTCGGCTCCAGAGGAGCAAAATGTCCATCTGGTGTCTATATTACTTCTACCGGGCTAGTCGGATAGGATAGTGTTTGCAGAGTTCGTTTGGAGTCGAGCTTATCAGTTTTGATACTCGATTCGGCTCAGCCCAGAGAGCGGAATTCTGATATAAGGACTTCCTGCTCAACCAACTCGTAATGTATATGTATATATATATAATCACACTCGTCATGTGAAACAATAGTCGCGGGGTTTTAAGGACAGTAGAACATTATCAATTAATTGAAAATTCAGGTACCTCTAGGTAACAAGGGTAAATAGAGGGAGGTAGCGTGTTGTTGTGTTCCGACTACTATCCTACCATCAACTAAATAGCACTGGAGTGGAGAGTATAACTCCATAATAGATAAGATTTTATTTTGATAGATCACACAGTGTTACACAGTAATACTAACTGATGACCACGCTTCGAGCACAAATTATTATCACTCATAATCATATCAAGGTATTCACTCACACAACTTTCTTCCTTCATTTATATATATGAGTGAAATTGATGATTAGACATTTGAATAAAAATCAATATAAGATAAAGTACATTCAGAAGTAATAATAATATGAGTGTTATTCATCAATTACAATCAGATGGGAAATAAGACGATTCTTTTTATAGTCAAAATAAGTAACTTGTTAGAATGTTATGAAGTACGTGAATTGAAATAGAATTTTGAGATTATTTATTATCCTCCTCTGATTTGACTGACTGGTGGTAATAACATCTTTATCTCTGATATTTGCATTGAGTTATTTCTGTTGCATGTGTTAGGTGTAGACTCAATGAACCAGGATTCAGTAATCAACCTCTCTCGCTCTCCACCTACCTATATTACGTCGTAGAATTTTGACTCTATCCCATAGGGACGTGGAGAGAGAGGTTTAATACTGAGTCCTTGTTCATCGAATCTACGCCCGACGCATGCAACAGAAATAACTCAATGCAAATATCAGAGATAAAGATGTTATTACCACCAGTCAGTCAAATCAGAGGAGGATAATAAATAATCTCAAAATTCTATTTCAATTCACGTACTTCATAACATTCTAACAAGTTACTTATTTTGACTATAAAAAGAATCGTCTTATTTCCCATCTGATTGTAATTGATGAATAACACTCATATTATTATTACTTCTGAATGTACTTTATCTTATATTGATTTTTATTCAAATGTCTAATCATCAATTTCACTCATATATATAAATGAAGGAAGAAAGTTGTGTGAGTGAATACCTTGATATGATTATGAGTGATAATAATTTGGGCTCGAAAGGTGCTCATCAGTTAATATTACTGTATAAGAACAACATGTGTAAGAGTTTGAACTACATACCGGCATGTCAATAAAGACTCGCCATTCCATCCGAATACCATCGGCTAACAAGCAATTCGGAGATGATTCATTTTATCACAAGTAGTTGTAGTGTCAATAGAAAATATTAGTACATTTAGTACCTCGACTATGACTTATTATTATTATTGTTCCCTTGGGTTCCTAGTGGAACATAGGGCCTCAACTACACGTCTCCACTTGCTTCTGTCTTCTGCTGCACTTTTCACCTGCATCCATGTTAGTCCATACTGTTTCAATTCCTCTTCACACGATCTCCTCCATGTCAACCTTGGACGTTGCACTCGCCGCTTCCCTTTCGGGTTCCACTCGAGCTATGGCCTGACGTGCGATGTCACCTAGCGGCCCCCTCAGCGAGTGTCCAATCCATCTCCACTTTCTCCCGCATATCTGTTGAGCGATTGGTTCTTGTTTTCTTTGTTCCCATAGTTTCTTGTTGGTGATTCTTTCTGGCCATGTGATCTTCAGTATAGAACGAAGACAGTTGTTGATAAAGGTCTGCAGCCTGTTGGAAATATTCTTTGTGACCCGTCAAGTTTCTGATCCATATAGCAAAACTGACTTGACGTTTGTATTGAAAATCCGAATTTTGTTGTTGATGCTGAGTGACGAAGATTTCCAGATTGGTTTCAGGTTGATGAATGTGTTTCTCGCCTTCCCGATTCTCGATTTGACATCCTCGTCCGTTCCTCCTGTAGTGGAGACAATGCTCCCTAGATAAGTGAATGAGGTAACCTGTTTCAAATCCCTCCCGTTGATGGTGATTGGCGCTGGATGTTGCTGTTGTTGTTGTTATTGGTTGGTTATTTTCATAACCTCTGTCTTGTCTATGTTCACCTGGAGTCCTGTCATTGCCGCTTCTTCGACCAGTTTGTCGACTGTGACTACATCAAGTAAATTTATTAACATGTTTAATCTTTACTCTTACATTACTTTGATTATCATTATTATTATTATTATTTTTAAGGTATCTCATCATCCACCGATTACAGCTTTTCATGTCGAATCAGAAAATTATCATCTCCGTGCTACTGTACAGTTTAAAATCCGCTTTTGGGGTAAATCAATCGATGTTCAACCAAAAGGTTTAGTCACGCTAGAATTATTCAATTATAATGAAACGTATACATGGCAAAATGTTAATTTAACACTACACAATGTAATAATGGGTAAAATATGGATGGAACAAGTTAGTCCATAATGATCTTTATGTATATATTTGAACTTTATTATCATAATGTGTTTGTTAGGCTTGCTTGTTTGCATGTGTATGTCAAATATGGATAGTGTTTCTATTAGTCTATAAATCTAATTTTGTTTTCATGTGTTGTTGTTGCTATTTTTTAACATCTTATAGCGTATATGTTTGAAATTTGTGCATTATGCTAATTTAAATAAACGGTAAAGTATCAAACAAAAAAATAAAGAAATAAATACTATTTGATCAGTACTACAAAATCGCTTAAGTTTTAATTAGTCTTAAATATCCAAATGTGTTTAATTTATGCTGTATTGATATTATAATTATTATTGTTCCCTTGGGTTCCGAGTGAAATGTAGGGCTTCAACAACACATCTCCAGTTTCTTCCATTTTCTGCCATCTCCTCTTCAGCTGGGTCCATGATTGACCAAGCTGTCTCATCTCCTACTCCTCACACGGTCTCCTCCATGTCACCCTCACACCGACGACCCACTCGTGGCTTCCCAATGGGATTCCACTCGAAGGCGCTGGTCTGGAGAGCTTTGTCATTCGATGCTTTCCTCAATGAATGCCCGACCAATCCATCTCCATTTTCTCCTACATATTTATTGAGCGATCAGCTTGACGTTTCCAACAGGAGGCTGCAGACTTCCATCAGCAGCTACCTTCACTCGATACCGAAAATCAGATGGCCAGAAAAAAAGAGAGATCTGGAAACGAACCAGCCAAGAACCTATTGCCTCAACAAATTCGTATCGCTCACAGTCGACTAGGTCATATTATTGATCAAATTTTACCTTTGCATAACCCCAAATACTTCATATTTACTAGTGTGTTTATTTATTCCCATTACAGACTGGTTCGTTACGGATTACAAATCATACGCTAGGCATTTATAGTCAGTTAGAATTTCTACCAGCTAATTGGCTCGGTCAAGGAGCTAATCGGTTCACGGGTGAATTATACGCTCCAGCATCTTTAAACAACACAATGATGCGATCAGCTTCGTCGAATTCTTCGTTAAGTGTTAACACAGTTAACCCTAGCAAGTCTAACTCCTCACACGTGTTGAAACGTGTAATTTTTGGCAATTGGTGTCGAGGTCTATTCACTGTTGAACCGAAAATATGGAATGAAAGAGAAGAGGTGAATGGGGTGAGTGTATTTTTTGAGTAAAAATTAAAACGTTTATCAGTAGTACGTCATCTGGTTGCTGTATCATGTATTAGTTTCAGGATTACACTAATATGAGGTGCTATATCCTATTATTTTTCAAAAGACTTGTCAATATATATGGTGTTGTGACTTAGATCATTATGTGGAGAGAACTCATCAAGAGAAAATTAACCGGACGTCCTCTTTAACGCGGGACAATTTAAACCGACATAAAATTGGGTTTAAAAAAGGTTAAGGATAGCGTGAATAAAACATGGCATGAATCTGTGAAGTCTTTTACAGTTATAAGAATAAACTTGTGCACTGTGGTAGAATGTAATTCCATTATGGGTAAATTTTGTTTTGATGAAGTCTCATAGTGTTATACAGTAATATTTACTGATGACGTTTCGAGCACAATTTATTGCTCATAATCATATCAAGGTAATCACACGACTTTCTAAATTCATTTATATAGTTCCGTTGTTTTTCACTTGATTTGATTGGGTATGAGTGATGAATCATTCCTATTGCATGTGTTGGGTGTAGATTCGATGAACAAGGATTCAGTAATCAACCTCTCTCTCCACCTACATAGATTACTTCTTAGAATTTTAACCCTCTCCCATCCTATTGTGTGATTGTGTGTTAATGCATGCAGTGCAATGTAGTGCTGAGCTTTTTTCTAAACTACTTATCTTCTCAGGGTCAACCATTCTTACCTTAGCTAAGTTCTTATGTTCTGACAATCTGACTAACCCTAACCTACTAATTTGACCTATGTAGTTGACCTCACAGTCATTGCAGGGTATTTTGTAAATTATATTATTTTGTCTAATTGGGTCCACTGGGTCCTTTAACCTACAGAGCTTGTCCTACGTGAGTGAGTTTGTAGGTTTAAATGCCACCCTAATTCCTGCTTTATTTAGAATCCTACGTAAGGTCTCAGATGTCCCCTCTTTATATGGTATAACTGTAGATGACTTATATTCTCTCTTATCTATGTTATTATTACTAGTTTCACAATTCTTTTTATTTTTCTTTTGGCCTTTTTCAATCTTCCTAATGAATTTTAAAGGATAGTTATTTAACACCAACGCCTCTTCTATCTGTTTTATTTCATCATTTAGGTCTTTTTTGTGCTACTTAGTGCTACTGCTCGGTTTGTTAGACAAACACTTAACTAAGCCTGCCTTAATAGTTAAAGGATGAGATGAATTAAAGTCTAAATATCTATTAGAATGCGTTGGTTTTCTATAAGCACTAGTGTGTAGTTTGCCTTCTTCTAATCGTTTTATTTTACAATCTAACCTCATAGCTAATTCTCCTTATTCATTTTCGGCTTCAAATGTGAATTTTATTCCCTCCACTATTGAGTTTATGTGTGTCAAGAAGCTAGAGATATTTTCTTTCTTTCTTTCTCCGATATGAATCTCCAGAGACAATTCATCTCAATTAGTTTATCAAGTAAAAAGAGGTCTCCTGAAAGTGATGAGCATCTGAATTTTTTTTATAATCGAAAGCCTAGCTATCCAGATAAGAAACTCGGCTCACTGCCATCACTTTCAGCGGGTTTCACAACTGCCCACAAGTGTTCATACCCCTCTCCTCCTCCTCCTCCGCAAGTGATCTTCTTCACGTAAACCTTGAACCCACGCCCACCTCATTGCTTCCTATTTGGGTTCGACATCTGGAAAGCCAGGTGTGTTATTTCATTTGAAGGTCTCCCCAGTGTACAATGTCTAATCCATCTCCCTGTCTCTGTGCTGTTGCCGATCACACGTGACTTTAGCAAATACTTCATAGGATAATACAACCGTTGATTGGAAGTGTATGTAGCTAGGGGGCATTACCAACCATAGGGCAGCAGGGGGGCAGAGACTGCTAGGCAGGAAAACCCTCGTATTTTTCTTAGGAATAGCTTTTACCCTCTGATTTATATACCATTGGATTCCTCTCGACGAGACGAACCAATTGGTACCTGTCTCGTCCCTGTAGGACTTACGGTTGCGGAGGTATGCTTCTTTAATTTCAGGATGTATTCTGCTATTTTAGAGTTTCTTAGGATGTACATGCTTTTTCATTTCATCCACGATGTTATGGACAACGGGGAGCTGAAAATGAAGCCGAGGCTGACCGGCAGCTTAACCGGACTTCTACTGATATGACGGTGGCGACGGTATCAGTAGGAGATAACTTGGGTCGCCACACCGTTCCTAGCGTAGCTCCGTTGATAGTAGCAACGGGCATCAACCAAATTTGTCAAACCTCACAACCTACTGATACATTGGCGACGGTATCAGTGGGGGCTGGACTTAGTCGTCAACAATCCAACCCGATGAACCAAACGAATCCAAGAAATATCATGCCGGATCGGCCGTGGCCCGGATTAACAACGACCGCGCTTTCTGCTGCCGTGTCACAGGACAGAAGTGATAAGTACGCTACTGAGACACACCAGGCCGTGTGTGACCGGCCTCAAGCAGATGTCCCCTGGGCTCTGCGGTCACGCAACACTAACCTTTCTTCTATTTCAGGTACCCAAAGACTAAACTCAGGCGTGAGGCCAGCAACCCCACCCTGTAAACAAACCTGCTACAGAAACTTCAGCGTGAACAGTCTCCTTGCGCCAAAAGAAAAAGTCTGTGTGGGGACATGGAATGTCCGCACCATGTACGAGACTAGCAAAGCTGCCCAGATCGCAAGCGAAATGAGGAGATACGGACTACAAGTATTGGGGATCTGCGAAAGCAGATGGAACGGATACGGACTCACCAAATTGTCAACAGGTGAGTCAGTGATTTACTCCGGTCACCCAGAAGACAACCACACACACACCGAGGGCGTGGCTATAATGATGTCACCAACGGCAACCAAGGCTCTGATACAATGGGAGGCGATCTCACCCAGGATAATGACCGCCAGATTCAACTCCAAAGGAAGGAAAGTGTCAATTATACAATGCTATGCACCGACCAACAACGCAGACCTCGAAAAGAAAGAAGAATTCTACAGACAACTGCAGGCAGCAATAGACAATACTCCAGCCGGTGACATCAAAATACTAATGGGAGACATGAACGCCAAACTGGGATCAGACAACACAGGAAGGGAACTCATCATGGGTAAAGAAGCTCTGGGAGAGATGAATGAAAATGGAGAACTCTTCGCCGACTTCTGCGCCTTCAATGAACTAGTGATTGGTGGCAGCGTATACAAACACAAGGATATTCACAAGGCTACATGGGTGTCACCAGATGGGCGAACCAAAAACCAAATTGACTTCATCACAATCTCGAGGAAGTGGCGGCGCAGCCTACTGGACACAAAAGCAAGAAGAGGAGCAGACGTTGGCTCAGACCACTACCTCGTACAAGGAACAATCCAACTCAAATTAAAGGCTTTCAGAGAAACAGGAGCTGCAGATAGACCACAAGCCAAGTTCAACACTCAAAAACTAAAGGACCAGGATACAAAGGATATCTTTACTGCAAGTATAAAGGACAAAGCTGAGACACAAATCAACATTAGTGAAGAGGTTAGCGTCGAAAAACACTGGAACAACCTGAAAACAGTATGGAGCGAAACCTGCATGGAAGTTCTGGGCAGAAAGAAGAGACAGGACAAACCGTGGCTCACTACGGACACTTGGAGGCTAATAGAGGAGAGAAGGATGGTGAAACAAAAAATTCTGCAGTGCACCGACGAGCAACAGAAACAGGAGTTGAATGTAAGCTACAATACACTGAACAAAGGAGTAAAGAAGAGTGCCAGAGAAGACAAAAGAAAGTATTATGAAGCCATGGCCAATGAAGCAGAACAAGCTGCAGGCAAAGGAGACCTCGCAACACTTCACCAAACAACTAGGTACCTTTCAGGCAAAAATTCGTCACAAATTAAGCCAGTGAAGGATGAAAATGGAAAGTCAATCACCAAAGAAGTGGAGCAAAGGAAACACTGGGCTGAACACTTCAAAAGACTACTAAACCGACCGCCACCTACAACGCGCCCAACAATACCAACAACGGAAGCAGAATTACCAGTGAACATCAACCCCCCGACGAAATCAGAAGTCCTGAAGGCAATCAAGATGCTGAAAGCTGGGAAAGCAGCAGGACCAGATGGAATCCCAGCAGAAGCATTGAAAGTCGACCCAGAGACAACAGCAGACTTGATGACGCCACTACTAGAGAAGGTGTGGAAAGAAGGCAAAGTACCCGAGGATTGGAAGAAAGGATACCTATTCAAACTACCAAAGAAAGGAGACTTAAGTCAATGCAAGAACTGGCGCGGAATTATGCTCCTTTCCATCCCAAGCAAAATACTAAGCCGCATCATCCTGGAAAGGATCAAACAAGCCTTGGATGAAAAACTTCGACCAGAACAAGCTGGATTCAGGAGTAACAAGTCATGTATTGATCAAATCGCCACACTACGGATCATCATTGAACAAAGTTTGGAATGGCAGTCACCTCTCTATCTCAACTTCATCGACTTTGAAAAGGCCTTCGACAGCGTCGACCGAGAGGTGATTTGGCAACTACTTCGCTACTACGGGGTGCCGCCGACAATTATACATCTCATCCAACAGTTGTATGACAACGCTGCATGCCAAGTAATCCACAACGGGAAGCTCACGGAATCCTTCGAAGTGAAGACAGGAGTAAGACAGGGTTGCCTACTATCGCCAATGATTTTCCTGATTGCAGTAGACTGGATAATGCGACAAACAGCGGGCAATGAGGAAACAGGCATAAAATGGACTCACACAAAGAACTTGGAGGATCTGGACTTCGCCGATGATATATGCCTGATTTCCCACAAACTGGAAGATATGCAAGTGAAAAGTAACAAGTTGGCAGAAGAAGCATCAAAGATAGGACTCCAGGTGAACATAGAAAAAACAGAGGTGATGAAGATCCCTGGCCAACACCAACAACAACAACAGACAGCAATCAGCATAAATGGAAAAAACCTGAAAGAAACTACCTCCTTCACCT